ACCCAAGCCACTTGGCCACAGGCTGCCTCCGGTGCTGAGAAGGAATATGAGCCCCCCACCCCCAACAGAGACCGCCCATTCTGCCCATCTACCCACAGAGACTTCTACCCTCTGGGGCTGACTCTACAAGCTGAAGGTAAGGGGTATGGAGGTTCCTGGCACAGTGGTCTAGGGAGCTTGGCATGTCTGGAGAGACACTGCAGGGCTTACCATGTGCTTCACTTGGTCACAGACCTCTTAGGCCCTCTATTATGATTGGTTTTAATGTCAACTTGCCACAAATTAGAATCACTTGAGTAAGGAGCCTCACCTGAAGATTGTCCTGATTGCCTTGACTGATGTGGGAGGCACACCCTGATTGTGGGTGGCACCTTCAGGTAGCAGCCCATGTGAAAAATGGTTTTCATAAGGCATTTCAAAATGCCTTTCAGAAGGATGTTTGTCTCACTTTTTGCACGCACACACACACACACACACACACACACACACACACACACACACAAAACGCCGACTCGATTCTCCCTGTTGCTAAATCCTTCACCGATGGCAGACGTTTCCAAGTTTTTCTCATGGACTAGGAAGCAGGGGCTCTCTAGGATTCTTCTAGGCTCCCAGTAGCCAGACTACCGAGGCACCCTGTAACTGTGGATTGTCGCCTCCCCACCCCAGCAGTGAGAGACAGCTATGGTGGGACTACCCAACTGTGGAGGCACCACCTTCAAGGACTGAGTAACTGCCAGGTTCTCAGACCCTCATGTATGATTTCGGTTGCTGTCACTATTTTACAGGTCACCTAACACATTTATTCATCTTGGTTCTGTCCCTGTAGAGCGCTGACTAAACCATCTTCCTTTCAGTGACCTCAAGGACATTGTCCACACCCCCACACTAAAACTGCCAACACCTGGACCCATCTGCAGGGTCTGTGGGGTTCCTCATTCTAGGGACCTTGAGCACGCCCAGGCCACATCCTGCACAGCTCCTCTGCAAAAGGCAGTTTGGGGGATGTTCGGGGGATGTTCGGGGGATGTTTGGGGTACAGTGCTCTGCCTCAGTTTCTCCTGGCTCTTCCATACCATCGATTCCCATTCGGTCTCTTAGGCTTTCTCTGGACTATTTATGGGTGTTCTACTACCCACAGGGCACTTTGTCCCTTGGCTCTTGCTGCCCCTGTTCCCCACAGCTCAGGCTGATCTATCCCTCATCAGTGTCGGGGCGTCTCTGCTTTCTCATGGCCCCTCTTTGCCATGCTGAAGGACTGGCAGACCAGGGCAGGTGCATTCCTGAGACCTGCTCTCACAGAGGGTTTTGTCCTCACGGCTGGGAGCTCTCTAAGGCTGGTGCTGGCCTCTGAGTACTTAGTTCCGGGAAGATGTGCCTGCCACACAGTTCCAAGCCTCCCCGGGTTCTCCCTATCTTGCTATTGGCAACAGCAATCCCAGGAATCCCAGTGACCTGGAAGGCGGCCGCCTTGATGACTCTCCTGCCACCACATGGCTGGAGGAACAATTCCCCAGGCCGTTGTATTTTGCTTTTGTGCTGCTGGGTTTGAAATCAGAGCCTTACTCATGTGTGTAAAGCAAGTGCTGTACTGCTGCGCCACGCCCTGGTCCCAACACGCTTTTCATTAAAAATTAATCATCTATTTTCATGATGCTGGAGATGGATCCTAGGGCCTCGAAAGCTAGGCTAACACTCCGCCACTGAGCTACATCTCCAGCTCCCAAAAGGTTTTCAACATACTTCTAGGAAGTGGAAGGAAGGGTTGGGGTTGTAGAATTTGGTGCCAATCAAGCTCCAGCTCTTTCAAAGCACTGGGACTGAACCTGTCACCTCCATTGCCCGGGGTAAGGAGTGGAGGTGTTAACCCAGCCCCCAGCCTCACAAACACATCCTAAGCAAGACAGCCCCGAGCCTGAGCAGGCTTGAGAAAGGCCAGTGAGAGACCTTACCACCCTGCAACAACCACTGTCCATCACCTCTGCCTTCCTTTGTAACCCGTCTTACAACAAGCCACTCCCTTTTTACGACACGGAAACATGGTATATAGTGAAGCTTCTTTTAAACTGTGTTGTTCTGCCAAGGAGAGAACCCAAGTTATTTGAAGCCTGGGCACAGCTAGGATACATAAAAGCTAGTGGTTTTATTTTTCCATCTGTAATAGATTCTGTACCTAGGAATATAGGACCACCAAGTTACAGCTGCTTTTGAAAAGTGTGCTATGTGAGCTGGGGAGTATACAAAGCCCCAAGTTCAATGCTCAGCACCTCATGAAACAGGCTTGTGAAAAATATGATGTAAAAGAGGGTGGGCAAGGGTGTGGTGGTTAATCCCAGCGCACACACCCCGCCCCCCCCAAACCTGCTGGCATTGTGGTGGATCTTGATGTAAAGGTTATATAGGAAAGTGCAGAAGGCCACTTGTATGCACATGTGTGATAGCAAGGCTCCAATCAACTAGCCAGGATCTAGGTCTTCCTGGAACCTCAGACCATTAAACATTAGAACTAAATCAACACAAACACATATGCTGAGATCATCAGTTTTTAACACTCCGTGGAAGCAGGCTCTAGGGTATCAGCATTTTAGAAAATGACATTGGCTCAGAGAAGATAAGGTACCCAGCTAAGATTCAAGTCCAATCATCCTGGCTTCAAAGGCAGCATGTCTAGGCCTGGTGTGGTGGAAGGCACTTATACTGCAGCCTTGGGAGGCAGAAGCAGAGGACTGCCATAAGGCCAGTCTGATCTTCACAGTGAGTTCTAGGCCACCAGCACTATACAGTGAGACCATCTTAAAAACAACCAAAAAAGGCAGCGTTCTGACCACCACACTTTGTCTGGCCTGGCAGGGAATCACACTGAGGAACTTCTAAGCAGGTCCAGACTTGCACAGTTGACCCCTGTAATGTAAATCCTAACTGGGTAGATAAGAGAACCTACCCCCACTTCCACAGACGGCTCACCTGAACTAGAAACGCAAAGTCAATACAAGGCAAATGAATGCTACAGCATACTTTAAAGGGGCGAAAGCAGAGAGCTCTGGGTGGCCACAGCTATGGGCCTAATCATAGGCTGCTGGCCACCGGCCCATGCACTGGCGGAGGGGACAGGCCTGTCTCAAATCATGAGCAACGGCTTTCTTGTCCATGCAGTGATGGCATGCCCTTGACATGGAAGAACCACCCAACAGTTACCTTGTTCTCTCTGCCTCGCTCATCTCTGAGCCTGTACTTCACACAACTTCTCATTCATTGTACCACATTCACTCACCCTTAGCTTTCATTTCCTCTCAGCCAGCCTTGGTCAAAGTTCATATGTACATCTTTTCCACCTTTATTAGCACTTATTTTAGCATTAACAGTTTTCAATTTTAAAATATAAAAGCTAACAAGTACATGTTCATCTCTTCTTTACAGATTTTAAGTGGTTTTATTTATTTATAGACGGGGTCTCACTATGTTCCAGGCTGGCCTGGAACTCACAGAGCTCCGCCTGCCTCTATCAGCAGTGCTGGATTAAAGGTGTATGCCACCAAGCAAGGCTCTATTTATCTTGTGACTTTCAGTCCAGGCTACAAACTCACTCTGTGGCTGAGGAAAATTAGTGTCTGACCCTCTTGCCTCCACCTCCCAAGTGTTGGGAATCAAAGGAGGATGTGGAGCATGCCAGGGAAGGCACTCTACCAAGTGAGGTGAATCCCTACTCCAGTATTTGTTTTCATGAAGTCCAATCTCACTTTGCAAATCTTAAAACGGCAGCAATTAGACAAAAAACATCACATAAGCGGGTAAATTGAAAGGGCTTGCCTGGCGGTGGTGGCGCACGCCTTTAATCCCAGCACTCGGGAGGCAGAGCCAGGTGGATCTCTGTGAGTTCGAGGCCAGCCTGGTCTCCAAAGTGAGTTCCAGGAAAGGCGCAAAGCTACAGAGAAACCCTGTCTCGAAAAACCAACCAACCAACCAACCAAACAAACAAACAAAAAAGGGCTCTGTATCTGCAGCCCACAGTGGCATCCCACTGTTTCAGCTGAGCCTGAACCCAAATTTAGTATTCACAGAAATAAAGAGTACACTTCTGAAACAAGGCTTTCAGAGATAGTCTCTATAGGTAGCCCAGGCTGACCTCAACTTCGAGATCCTGCTCAGTCTCTGGATTACAGGCCTGCAGACCACACCTGGCCTAACTTTAATCTGAAGGTATAACCTAGACAGTGAAATATATCACAGTGTGAATTTAATAGTCAGTTAGCATGCCAAGCAGCATAATAAAATGGCATAATACAGTGAGATCAAGAGCTAAGGACAGACATTAACCTCAGAACCAATATAGTCGGTCTCTGAATCTGTAGCCACCACCCACTCCCAGTATTTTCACCTTTGAGAATTATAAATGTTGCTGGATACAGGGCAGCAGACACAAAGCCCCTTGTGAGCAAGGGGTTCGCAAACTAGCCGTCTAGGAGACCTCAGTGTCAGGGAGAGGCTGACCCGGGGGCCGCCTCAGTGTCAGGGAGAGGCTGACCCAGGGCCACCTCAGTGTCAGGGAGAGGCCGACACGGGGGCCACCTCAGTGTCAGGGAGAGGCTGACCCTGGGGCCACCTTAGTGTCAGGGAGAGGCCGACACGGGGGCCACCTCAGTGTCAGGGAGAGGCTGACCCGGGGGCCACCTCAGTGTCAGGGAGAGGCTGACCCTGGGGCCACCTTAGTGTCAGGGAGAGACTGACCCGGGGGCCACCTCAGTGTCAGGGAGAGGCCGACCAGGGGGCCACCTCAGTGTCAGGGAGAGGCTGACACGGGCCTCCCAGGAGCAACGGCAGAAGCCGATGTTTCCGTGGGGCAACAGCCCATTTGCCGATGTTCACGGCACGCCTATCAACCATCCTTTCATTACCAACAGAATCGGCTTGTGACAACTCAAGATCTTATTCAGAAGCAGTATTTTTAAATTAGTTGTATTTATTTATTTATTTATTTATTTATTTATTTATTTATTTATTTAACCTTCTGGTTAACATTTTTATTGTAGTATTTCCTTTTAAAATTTACCTAAGACAAAAAAGAAAAAGAAAACAAAGACAATGGCCCCGAAAGGAACGCACAATTTGTTTTAGTTTACAGCACAGAGATCCTTCTCTTAATGGGAGTTGTGCTCTTGGTTTCAGCAATAAGTGAAGGAAAAAAGCTCTTGCCCTTTTGAAGTTCTGAGGGGAGGTGTGGGTGTCCACGTTAGTATGGTTGGAATGGTCTTCCAGTCACCATGGTATCCACCTACTGGCCTTAGTTCCAGATCTTGAGGAAGCTGTCCCAGGACCCTGTTGCCACAGCCATGCCATCATCAGTTACCCCCAAGCAGCTGACGCGGTTGTCATGTCCAGCTAAAGCACCTGCTCTGTCAGCTTTGAGTGCATCCCAGACATTGCAGTTGAAATCGTCGTACCCAGCAAGGAGGAGTCGACCACTCTTGGAGAAGGAAACAGATGTGATCCCGCAGATAATGTTGTCATGAGAATAGGTCATGAGCTCCTGGTCTGCACGGAGGTCAAACAGCCTGCACGTAGCATCGTCTGAGCCAGTGGCAAAGGCATTGCCATTGGGGAAGAAACATGTGGCATTGATGTCAGACTCATGTCCTGTAAAGGTCTGCCGGCACATCCCTTCTCGGACATCCCAGAGCTTGGCTGAAGCATCACAAGCACCAGAGACAAACAGTCTGGTGTCAGGAGCGAGAGACAGGCTCATGACATCTCCAGTGTGTCCAGTAAATGTCGTTGTCTGCTGGCCGGTCTCAATGTCCCACAGGGCACATGTGGTGTCTCCAGAGCTGATGACTATCTGACTGTCATCCAGGAACCGGCAACAGGACAGATAACCTGTATGTCCTGCCAGCTCACGACTCACATGCACATTCCCTTCACGGGTTTTCAGATTATAAATGGAGCAGATGTTATCCAGGCCACCACAGGCCACATAATTCCCAGAAGGATCGTTTGCACAAGTCATGACCCAAGAAGAGCACAGAGGGATGGCATGAACCTTGTTTGTGGTATAGCTGTCCCAGATGATGAGTTTTCCATCCTGAGAGGCGCTGACAAGGAGCCTTGAGTCTGTGCCCCAATGCACGGCATAAATCTTGGCCAGATGCCCCTCAGCGTTCTTCTGGTTCGCATTTGGATTCTTCCCACTGGATCAATGTTGTTTGTGATCTGAGAAAGTCGCATCTGCACATGCTTTACGTGCATCTCTAATCTGGTTCTTCAGTTGCTCGGCCTCCTGCTGCAGCTGGTCAAGTTCACTCATCTTCAGGTCTCAGTGCTTTCCACACTTCAGAATCCAAGCTCTTAATTCAGAAGTGTTTCTGGTCTGTTTTTCCACACATGTAAGTCTATCTCAGAATAGTGGTTGTCCAGTACGCACCAACTGCTCGATTCAGTCCATAACACCACATAAACAAGGTACAGTAGCCCACATCTCGCCCTCGCCCAGTCTGGCGCCCACGCCGCCGCCTGGTCGACCGTCTTCCCGCTTGCGGCTTGCGGGCAGAAGCCGGCGAGGCTGGTCAGGTCCGCGGGGCGGCTGTTCCAGTCCCAGCCCCGCTGCCCTCACTGCCCGTGCCCGCCCGCCCCTCAGACGCCTCCAGCCATCAGGAT